AGTAGTTATGAAAAAAGAATGATGAATTTATTGAAAGAAATGGTGTCCGATCCTACCTCATGTTTATTTAGTTTTATGTATGCAAGTATAGCTAAGCTAGGTGGATACATATGAATGAATTTCTTTGCTAGTACATATTGAATATCTTGCAAGGTACAAGTTTTGGTTTGCTCCCCAATGGCCAATGCGTAGGCCACTACACATTGTGACTATCTAACCTTGGTAGCCAGCAATGGTAGCAGGCAATATATACATCACGTGAAGCTTTATTTAGCCAAAACTTCAGCTGACATTATCCTTCCATCTCATCTCATGTGATCATTTTACAATAATAGAATGTTTCTATGTATATAAAGAGCTAGTCAATACCTATCTACTCCAACAACCACTACCTATACTAGCTTTGTTGACTTCAAAGATTGCTTGAAAGTTCACTTCAAATATACTCCATTTACTTATCTCAAATAGGAGTACAAATACAATGGGTTTAATGAGACTAGTGGGGATATCCCAAACAAAGAAAAAGTTTGCAAGAACAATGTCTCCCAAAAAAGGAAGCATTAGTAACCTTTGTACGAGGAGTTGGAAAAACGAGAGTAGGGACGAAGTTGTCGTTCCGAAGGGGCACTTCGCCGTGTACGTAGGCGAAGCGCGGCGGCGGTTTGTGGTTCCGATAGGTTACTTGAGGAATGCAATGTTTCTTGATTTGTTGGATTGGGCAGAGCAAGAGTTTGGGTTTGACCATCCCACCGGCGCTCTTACCATACCATGTAGCGAGGATTACTTTATATGCCTCGCCTCACTCCTCAACTCCCAATCATAGTCCTAGCTTGGCCTAGCTAGCTCACAATATATCTTCTATCTCCATCTCCTTTAATTAGTGTGTAATGACAACTTTAAGTAGTAGTAGTAATTACTCATCACATATATATTCGTGATGACCACAATTTTGATGTGTACGTTTGACTTTCAAAGCTAAGATGAATGAATGAAAGAAATTGCTTATAAAACATACATAAATGCATAAATAGAAGTACATTGTTTTGTTTTGAAAATTGGATTTGTTTAGTTCCGTAATAATCCAACCTTTCAGAGGTCTTCTTACAATAGTCTCATCTTTTCGTTATTCATGAATAATTCAACCTTTGCACCTCATCTTCATTCACTGGTCTCTGACAGTTTGATGACCTGTTATTCCAAGTTATTTTCTTATCTTTGCAAACCATTATACCATAAATCTCACCTTTTACAAAGATAATATTTTGCAAAGATGAGAAAATAACTTGGAATAGCAGGTCATTAACCGGTCAGGGTCCAGCGAGTGAAGATGGGGGGCAAAGGTTGGATTATCCTTGGATAATGAAAAAGTGGGACTATTGTAAGAAGACTGCTAAAATGTTGGATTATTAATTTCCATTTTCCCATTAAAAGTTTCATTTATGAACAAGAGTAGAGCTAGAGGGTCTAACTGGGTCCGGCGCATTTCAATTTTTCTAAATGAAAGTGGCTTATATTAAACTATCAAAATTCAGGCAAGTTACATATTTTATTAAGACAAAAAGTCACCCCGATCACTAGCTCTTGAACCAGATTTAGAGTTAATCACCTTTCAAGAAGCAATATAGCCCGAGACGGGCCTGACATCAGCCTGCCTCAATCCCGTTTTTAATTCATCCCGTGTTTTTCCTTCTTCACCTTGATCTTCTCTTGTGTGCTCCTTCCACATTCTCCTTCTGATCTCTTCTTGTCACCTGGTCTATTCTTGGTATCACTTGATTCTGGAGGAGGGCAAAGCATCCGGTCATCCAAAATATCAATCACGATGGAGCACCAGAGAAACCAACCTATGAAGAGCTCCAATTCCGCCGAAGGCTGCGCATGAACCCAAACCCATCCCATTAGAGTATTAGACCATGATTCATTTCCATGTTTTGCTAAACTCTTTAACAGGGAATGAAAATTGTTGGGTCCTTCAGTTAGCCAAAAACCTCCAATTTATACGTAGTACGTAGTCCTATGAAACTTTGACACGAGGGATCGGAACGACACAGAAGCCATCATTGGATATGATTAATGTTACATGTTTTACACTATATTCAATTCATATGCACATGGATAAATTTGTTACATTTAAGGTATGATTGCACACATTTAATTTGCACTTATATGTTATTTGGACAAATTAAATGTAACATTTTATTATCATTTGACAAATGAAGTATCATTACTTCTAATAAGGCAAAGGCAGTTACCTCTCGGAATTGATGTGCAGTTCAATGCAGAGATGATCGACCAACCATGGGTGTTTGGGAGCATCGCCCGCTAATTATTATGATCTATCATATTAAATCATTAATTACTAATGATTATATATTGGGGGTGTTTGGCAAATGACCTTTCAGCAAAAAAAAATGCGGTTTGATCACTATTGACGTTTTTAACAAGTGAAAGTGTATTGTTCTAAAAATCGGTCTAGGCGGACCGATTAATCGGCCTAAGCGGCCTAGTCGGCCCTAACCGTAGAGGCCGAATCGGCCTAGTCGGCCAAAAAATCGGCCTAGTCGGCCAAAAAATCGGCCTAGTCGGCCGCCTAGGCGCTAGGCGCCCCTCAACCGCCCGACTAGCGCCTAGCGAGTTTTAGAACAATTAGTGAAACTAACGTTGTTTGGTAAATAGCGGTTCAACGCTAGTGCTTTTGTATGAAATCGCTAAAATGGAAAAGGTGCAAATAGTAGAGTTTTGGGTTAGCGTTTTGATATATGGCATTTTAAATTAATTTCATGTGCAAACAGCTAAATTTAGCTACCATTTTCTGACAATCTGTCAACTTATTGTGCTAGTCAAACCCGTTGATTGAATCCACTATTGATAACTCGCTAACATATTCCGCTATCTGCTAACTGCTAACCGCTAAATGTCAAACATGTTCATTCTCCAAGCTCGATCAAATAAAAAAATTAAAGAACCCAATTCATAATTTACATTCACTATTTAGATCCAGATCTCCCTTACCAAAGACTTGCAAGGTTTCATCATCAATTCTTTTCATAGGCTAAATAAGTCATGGTTCTTGATATTGAATTGTTGAGGTCAGTTTGCGCACTAACAACGGTTAAAAAGTGCTGATTTAACACCTATGGGCAATTTTCTGTTGATGTGCATGTTTTTTTTTCATTTGGCCCCATGTCATATTATTGTCATACGAGTATACTCGCTATCATACCAGTACTACCTCCGTCCCATAATGGTCGTCCACTTTCAATTTGGCATGATTATTAATAAAGTGGTTGAAAAGTAAAAGTTGTGGTTGAGATTTGAGTAGAATAAAGTGAATTGATAAGAACCACATATTTCATCCAAAAAGGAAACAAAACATTCATTTTGGGACAACCCAAAAAGGAAAATAGGATAACCAAAATGGGACGGAGGGAGTAGCAATTACTTGCATTGGTGATTGGTACATAAAAATGAACATATTGTACCTATCATGCATTTATTTGGTTCGTCTCGTTATTCCATCATTTATTTGTATTTAAGTGATTCAATTACAATATAATAATTGATCTATACTAATCTAATATAGAAATTGCCTAATTAGGATGTTTTTACTTGGAGTGTAATTTGTCCTAGATCAGACCAGACCAGAACAAACCAGACCAAGATAGTTATAAAAATATAAAGAGACCAGACATTACCAGACCAGACCAGCCAGTAAATTACAGTCCAAGTAAAAGCATCCTTACTATCACTAATATTGAAACTTTTATCACTAAATATATAACTACGACAACAATCGCCATCGTTGCTAACCAATGACGTCGCTCAACAACTCATTTTTATTGATCAATAGATAAATCAAACGAATACTAGACAAACATATATTAATTCCGAATTGCAAGTCTGATCCGAATTGTCATCAGTTACTATTTTCCGCACATTATGAATGTAATGAAAAATAACTCTGATCCCTATGAAAAGTCATTAACAAGGTGAAAAATAATTAATTACAACAAAAAAGTAAAAACTATATAAAAATATTTTTAATAAATTTAGTGTTGAATATGTTTTGTTTACTTATTTTATTCTAATTGATACTTTTTAAGTAAATTCGCCGTGTGCTACTTTTCATAACCATTACGGGTTTGTTTGCAATTGCTTCTCCTTCAAAACGCATTTTTTTGGAAATAGTGATTAGTAATAAAAGTTGGAAGTGTTTGGTAAAATAAGTGCTTTTTGTGTAAATAGAAAAGGTAAGTGCTTAATATTGTATGCTTATTATTCATTCATCGTTTGTCCACGAATATCTGAAATTATTTTTTTGGGCTCATTGTTTAGGGTGGAAGAGGTAGATTTTCATCTCAAAATCTGGACCAGTGATACTTATCTTAAATGTTATTCTAATTTTTTTGCTTGCTCTGTGAACTAAATATAGAAAACATTGGTTCTGTTTTAAAGTTTGAGAATTTTGATTAGTAGCTAATGTTATGTCTATTAAGTAAGTAATTTATAATATAATGTTTTTAAACATATGAAATTATCATCATCATTTAGAATTCATTTACAATAAAGAAAGTAAACAGACAACATACATTCTATACTTTTTCCAGGCATGAGGGGTTTTTGGTCATTTGACATAATTCAGACATCTCATTCAGCAAACACAGTAAACAGTTTGTTACTTCAGTATCACTTAATCCAGACAGACATCTTAATCCAGACAGATGACTTAACTCATTCAGGACTTAATGGGATAAAAAAAGTAAACAGCCCCTAAGAGTGAAAAAATGACTTGATTTTGGATGATATGTTTGAATTTGATGTGGTCTAGTGTAAAACTCAAACATTCAAAATCATTAATCTTCAAACGATGTATTATTGTGAGATGGTGATTTAAGCTAAGGTCATTTAAGGGTGTGATATTATTTTTGAAACAATTATGTGCCAACAATTTAAAGATCAAAAGAATCATGAAAATCTGAATATATGAGAATGGTGAATGAAGATGTCTCATTAAGTGTTATTGGTACAATTATTTGGACTCAAATCGTACCAACGTACGTACGTAACAATATCCATATATACCCAAGTATATTTTACCAAGGCGGTAAATATTATGGTCAAGACTAAAATATCAATTCAATTCCTACTATAAACATTTCGTTCTAAACTACTACATCACTCGTAATTGAGTAGCCCATAGATTACTTCTCCTATTGCGATTGCTGGGAGCTAAGAAGGGAAGTGAGGCTTAAGAAGTAATCCTCACTACATGGGATTGTCAGCCCACCGGTGGGATGCTCATACCCAAACTCCTGCTCCGCCCAACTCAACAGATCCTGGAACAAAGCATGCGTCAAATACTCGATCGGAACGACGAACCGCCGCCGCGCTTCTCCGACGTACACGGCGAAGTGCCCCTTCGGAACAACCGCTTCGTCGCTACTCTCGTTTTTATTCCTGCCCCTAGGAGTTAATGTTCTTCCAAGCTTCTTCTTTGCCTCGGCCATCCCCACTAGTTTCATGATCCCCATCTTATTGATTAGATATGTAAGATAATCGAAATAAAAGTGTCTTTAATTTCAAGGATGGACCAATAGCTAGAATGTGAATTTCCAAGATTGGAGTACGTAGCTTAGTGCTGGCTGGCTCTATATATATGAGCACATTCTATTATTGGAAAATGATGAGAAGGGGAAGATGCATGCCAGCTCAAGAATATACCAAATTAAACCATCACGTGGATTTGTCTCTCTAATATAATCCGATTGAATCGACTATCTCATAGTAGCTAGTATGTATGGAATATGTATATACTTAACCCACACAGGTAGCATTATAGTTGTTTGAGTGTGACGGTTGGTTGAGGTCTCAGGTTCAATGTCTGGTCGGGAGCGGTGACGTGAGAGTTCCATCCAATACGATGACTCGTTGTGTACACTAGGTCTCGATCAAATCACCCCGCTCACCCAGAAACTATTTGAGGCCACACTATGATTTACTCTTTCATCATTCTATCAGGTCGGGGCGTGGGGGTGTCTGGGCGATTCCACCGTTTGAATTGGAATATGTATATACGTGCTAGTACTTTAGCTACCGGCCTACATAGCCAAGATAGGCACAATATAGATTGGCCTACATATCGGCCAGTTTGGGGAGCAATCCACAACTTGTACGTTGAACAATACGATTTATTAATTATGTACAAACATGAAAATCAACTCACCAGCCGACTGCAACCATTTCCCTGCCTTCTTTTTCATTGAATTGGTCAGAGTTCTCCGTTTTTGGGTTTAATTTTTGGGGCATTGGACTTGGCTGAGGACTGCCTTTGTCTTGAAATGTGCCTTGTCTGATCTTTGGCAGTCTTTAAATCTTAAACTAGGCCACCATGTTCTGATCTCTTATGTCTCTTTTGCCTTTTGGAATAATACCATCGATCCCATCCTCCCTGATAGACTACCATACGTACTAAGGATTGTTTTCAATCCCAGAACAGATCAGATCAGACTTCCGCGATTATAAAATACACAGAGACCCGATGTTTACCAAACCAGACCAGACCAGACTAGTAAATTTCAGTCCAAAAGAAAACATCCTAAGAGAGAAAATTTAATGTCAAGAAAACTATGCAAATAAGTATACAAAATTGAGTGACTAAAACATATGTAGTACTACCTATCTAGCAAAGAGAAATATAAATCGACCCGTCCCTCAAAAGTTTGCCAATTTTGACTACCACGAGATATAATAAAACGAAAATTGTGTAATTGAAATTTTTATATGAGAGAAATAATACATAGTAATAAGAATTACAAATTTAGTATAAGGGGAGAATGGAGTGATATAAACCGCAAATATATAATGCATTGTTTGAAAAGAAGTTGCGGAATTCTATGGTGCATCCCTTAAAATTGTACCATTGGGGGGCCAATAATAGTGTACCACATGAAAAATAATTAAAATATATATATGAATTTAATGTCCATGTGGCATTGTTTTATTTGCCTACATAAGAAGGTGTACCATACATGCAAAATTTAGAGGTGCACCATAGAATTTCCCAAAGAAGTTTGGGATCGGACAATTCTTCAAAATGTTTTCCCATAATGAATTTGGACAAAACAGGGGCGGAACAAGAGCTTCCATTGATTTGAATGGTATCAATTCTTTTGAATTTAATATTACTTGGAAATAAAAATGAAAGTATAAAATGAATTCATAAATATTTGCACTTATTTTAGACATAATCGATTAAACTTTTATATGTTAAATTATTATTGAATTTCATCATCATGGCTATTTTCAAACACTATTACTATTAATAATAATGCTTATAATAATGTTCATGCACTGACACTATGAGCACAGATTCATATCATATGAACAAGTGAGTATTGACTCATTCGATCTTTTCACATATTGTACTAATTTGTATTTAATAAGTCCCAATTGTACCTATGCAAGATTCTTCCATTTAGAGTTCCTAGCTTAGCATAATTATGTGTGACTTTTCAAATGAAGAATCGTTGTACTCTTAAAAAATGAAGAATCATTGTATATATCTCATTGAGTTCTATTCGTACAATATAATTGTTATTATGTAATTCTTGGTCTCATATTTAGAGCCCGTTTGATAGCATTCAAATGAGTTGAATCTGTTGAAATTAATGAAATTTGTTGAATACGTAGTTTTGTTGATGACTAACCATGCTGGAACGAAGGACAAATTAAAACTGGTCTATGATTCACGTGAAACACTTGCATATTAATTGCTAACTAACCATGCAGGTGGACATTGGTTAGAACTACTATACGAACTATACTTAGGTCTATATGGATTGTAATGTGTGCTTGCATGGTTATGTCTTTCGTGTGATATCTTTCCATACGTGGTTGCATTATTAGACATATAAGTGATATAACATTTTGGAAAGTATCTTTAATATTAATGATGCATTTGAAATGGATTGACCGAAGCTCATTCGAACATGTTAAAAGGACAGAAAAGGCTTTCTTACTAAAAATATTGAATGAATATTATTGCTAGTATTAATATCCTGCTTTATGGAAAGGTGACCGTATACTTGGCATAATATTTGCTTTCCATACAATTTGAAAAACCATCCTTGTTTGAAGTTTTAAAACAATCATTTTAAATGAGATGTTGATTTCCTTGAATGATCCGTTGCTTGGATAAATATGTTAAGAGAATAAAATCTCTTGGGGATAATTATTCTTGAACAAATAACCTTTATGCACGTGAAGTCATTTAGCTAGCTCTCAAGATGGAAAGCAATACAACAAGATAAGAATCATTTATACAAGGAAAGCCCCAACGGATAAATCTTAAGGAGGCTATATATATTCGACCAGCAAGGAAGAAAAGGTGTGCGCTTGACGAGAGAAAGATAAAAGTGATATACACGAGAATATTCAAAGTTCAAGCCATCTGAACCTGCCCACGGAGTTCTAGATATAGTTTTATTTTTCCTCCTACATTGTAATTGGGTTATTAACAGGGCCGGTCCTGTCATAGGGTCAGCATGGGCTGCTGCCCAGGGCCCACCTGGAAGAGGGGCCCATGGATTATTTAGTGGTAGTATATATACATATTGAGTCCCGTTCACTTGCGTGCCTGACATGGAGTTCTGTACGGACAAGCCCATTTGAGGTGCTTCTAGGGGGTATTTTTTTGATGAAATTTGGTGAATGTGTATTTCATTAAGTGTACATTGTGTCTACAAATTTTCATTTTAAAATTAAATCGGGAAGTCTGTTAAATAAATTATTGAAAAACACTGTGCTTTTTATATATATACAACGCAATGATTTTTAGTAATTTATTTAAAAGACTTCCCGAATGAATTTTAAGCTGAAATTTCATGAATATAGTCTACTCTTCATGAAGAACATCCTCACAAAGTTCATCAAAAAATTTGACCCAGAATTCTCTCAATTGGGCTTGTATATGTACGGTACATTTGATCAGGCGCACCTCACCACATCATTTCTCTATACTCTAATACTTCGTAAAAGATATTTCTCAACCCTCATTTCCGTAGACTGAGCCACAACGGCAGAGATACACGTGAAATGGGATTCGATGACTTTCTACCTTCCTCAATTGATAAAAATTATTTTGATAATATTATTGTTAATTTTGCTTCTGAGAATGCCTAAAGAAATTATTTTGTATGACCCATGATATCGAATAGTTCTATGGGCAAAAACGTTTAATTGTGCAACAAATTTTATTTTTAACAATGAAACTTTTGTAATACATTCTTACAAAATACGTAGTATATAATTAGGGGCCTATTTTTTCTCTTTTGTCCCGGGCCTATAAATTACCAGGACCGACCCTGGTTATTAAGGACTAGCTAAGCATAGCTTCCTTGGGTTGGGGATAAGTGTGTTGTGAGGAGCTTTGTTGTAAAGCTGAGAAACTGTCTACCCGCTAGGTAGAGATGCATAACTCTTCCTAGAGGAGATAGAGTTGGGTGGCTCAAGGGTAGACTAGGAAAGTTTACCTTGTAATCTTTCAAAGGCTTGTTAGTGAAGTTGTTTAAAATTCCTCCGAGGGAGGTCGAGGTTTTTTAATCCCTTTGAGCCAAGGGGTTTTTCGTCGTTAAATCCTTGAATACTTTACTATTTTGCATTTCTCCTTATCCCACACTAGAACTTGGCGAAAAACTGTCACGATTCCACACACACACAATTCTCCCCCCTCTTGTGTTGTTAACCGTTTTCATCAAAATTCTTGCTTAAACTGTTGAATTGACTGAACTACTAAATTATGAAAAGTTATATTTAATTTATAATTTGATTAAGAAACATAACAATTAAGAAATAGTTAAAATGATCCACTGCAATAAATGTAGTTAATTCAACAATAAAAGTAACTCTAACATTACTTATTTTGAGTATTAATCTAGCGCACGGAATCAAAGCTTATACATTTCATATACAAATGGCTAATAAACTGAAAACCATAATCACCAAACAAGCCATTAGATCTGTTTTGAGCAATTTCTTTACTAATAGAGATATTGTAGAAAGAGATTCATATTTGGCTTTTCCATATACGGTGCAAGTATTTGTTCATGTACACGAGGACTTAAATAGATGTCGAAAAATGGTGTGGTGCTAAATTGGTATCGTGTCAAATGTTCAAATCCGTCGCACGTTTTGCTAAAAGGCTATGGTTCTTCCGTAATAGCATCGTCCCTCGGCCTTCCAATCTAAATCGATGTGAAAACCATCATTAATAATCCACACATATGTAAGCTAGCTAATTAAGTGGTTGTGTAGGAAAAGAGCATAAAGAGCAGTAGGCATTAACTACAAGCATGCTAGTGTTCTTCACATGTACATATTGGCCACCTCCATCGGACCCTCATGTTGTGTTTTTCAGAATCGGCACCCGCTCTTCTTATAACTTATACGATAGTATATTTTTTTTTAAATTATTCTTCTCCAATTTCATTTACTACTCATATCCCGCTATTAACTTCCTATTTTGAACTACACATATTTAGGAAATAAATTTGATTTTACTGTTTAATTAGGCACTGTTTGGCGCTGTTTAGACACTGTTTGATACTGTTTGACACTGTTTTGATGTAGGACAACTTTCCATTTAGGGAAATGAGAAGATGATTTTGGGACGGCCCAAAAAGGAAACCATGAAGTTAATAGCGGGACGGAGGGAGTATTATGTTATACGTAGTATCTATTTTTGTTCCTTGTGCATATAAAATATATTATTATTTTATTTCATTGTTTCATTTTAATATCAACTTATTTGTATTCTTTTGGTAGGCAACGCCGCAACGTATTCCATGATATATTGATATCCTACCTAATATATTATGGAGTAATTTAATTTAATTTGCTTTTCAGATCATTGACAACGCATTGTTAAATAATTACGGTCTTCATATTCATTATACGATATTACATTAACATTTATAATAACTTTTAATTATTCCAATGAGAAAAGAAGATAAATTATGAATCAATATTGGAGATATTTGCGCCATTTGCCAATACTCCCCTAGCCTTTAATTTGGATGTACCCACTAACTATGAAATTTGTCTCGTACAGAAGTGAATCAAACCAATACCGAAACATCAGCCAAAACAATAGAACCGAACATTTGGGCCGGGGCTTCCATTTTGTGAACAAGTCTTCGGCGATGGAAAGGATGGCAAATGTTTTCTTTTATTATGTGGTTGTTGCCTCCCCTTCAATTTCATCATTGATCTATTT